TACCGTTGACCTGGATATTAGTCTTCAATATCACATTAACCGTACGTGGGGGGTGTACCAATTTAACTTACACCCCCTGGTGTACGCAAATAATCGTACACCGGGGTGTAAGTTAAACCCATGAGTACGTTTGCTAAGAACTAGCGTGAAAGAGATGTTGCGTTAATATCGTTGCACCAACTAACTATGTACTTATGGATCTAAATTGTGCAAAGTCTGCCGGGAAATCCAAATGCGGTCTGTTTACTGATTTTGGATGTTGGCGCAACAGATGGAGGAACAACGTCGCTATTACTATTACACGATCTAACCGTCCAAGTCAATCCGTTGAAAACTAATGGCGAAATGTATCCAATAAATTTGTTCAGTTAGTATACCATTTTTTTGTTGTAAGATACATTGAATTTATTGGTGTAAATTATTTTAGAACATCAAATCCATTGGAATTGACAACGAAAAATCTCCATGATAATGTAATAATGATATTGTTGTACCTCAGTTGGGAACCTGTCTCAGTCCTGGACTGAGACAACTGGGTGTGTCTGGGTTCTGGACTGAGTGACTGGGTTCCGAACTGAGACAGGTTCCCAACTGAGGTACAACATTAATAACAAGATAGTATTTCTGTGGCCGATAAACCAATGGAAGACTATAAAATTCCATTGCGATCAATGGTCTAATGCGACAACGGTAGTTTACTATACGCGATCATAATAAGAATTTACTATAAATACAGTATACAAACCTTATGCTCACAGTCTCACTAATTTACTGATATAATGGCGCGACAACCTAGTATAAGAAACCTTCGATATAAGAAATATGGCCCATAAGAAAGATTTTTGCTGGACTCGATTTAACATCTTCTAACTAATGGCTCTCGTTATAAGAAATTTTTGATATCAGAGAGTATTTGGCCCGACCCGACGACTTTTTTATAACGAGTTTTACTTGCATACAAATATTGCAAACATCTTCCAAGCACTAGCAGCCAAAGTTGTAAACCTTCTTAATCTACCCGTAGTTGACAACGAGTACAACAAATACAAAACATTGGATACTCGTACGCCACAGTTGGACGGTCATATTAATATTAATATGCAACAGTTACAAATCGTAAGTATATTATTTCTGAACCGAGCGTTATTCTGTTTATTATTTCTTTTGTTACTTCTTCATTATACACGTTTCTAAATATTTATTGTATTTTTAGAGGAGAAATGAACGAATTTTATTCTAGAGCCTTTGCCAAAGCTGTTGCTCCTATAACTCCAATTTGATTATCCTGGAGATTTAAAGGAATTCGCGGGCAGAATTATTAACTCAACTCTCCAACTCTTCAACTGTCCAACTCTCCCACAAGCCCATGACATCAACCACTATCTCCGCTCACTCCTTACTCCCTTATTAGGGCCTTTGGAGTCCTTACCAGGGGAGGAAATCTTCCACAAACATCGCAACCGCCATCTCCCCATAGGTATTCCTGTCACTCAATTCGACTGACCGAACCGATATTTACTGATGCAGAAATTATTCCGCTAACTTTCTGCAAAACCTTGGAGAAATAAGGACTGCTAAGGCCAATGTAATCGATGGTTTACTCACGGCCTACAATCAGCCGACAACTGGTAACATAGACGCTCGTGAGGGACATTTAATAAAATACTTTCTCCTTAAGAACAGAACAAGGCGCTACAATAGCTTGATATATGTATATTAGAAAATTTAAAGGAAACACATGTGCATAAATCTTGTAACGAAACAAATTTGCTAAATTCAACTTGCATATTTTAGTTAGCATTGTAAAACAATAATGACATTATTTTCATTTTATTTACCGTATAGTAAATTTTCACCCTTATCACTTGATGCACGATATATCCTCATTCGCATCTTCTCCCAAATCAATATTTTGCACTAACCTTCTATTACCTTTTTTGTAAGCTTTCTGAGAATTCTATGCGACAATTTTTATATATTGTTATGATACCGACGTATCTTCACCCACTCTCCACCTTCCGTATCATGACGTGTATTTATAAGCAGAGGAACAAATGTGTAGCAGTATTTTTGTTGTAGGTCGCTTTTCAAATGTTGCAACTATCTTTGCTTACTGTTAAAAAAATTATCCCAGGTAGTTCTAAGCTAACCTCAAATAGTTATAAAATTTGGCGATTGCACTGTAACTTATTGTTTTCATTTGGATTCTCCCATAAAGCACTTATATATTTGTGCTGATAGTAGTAATAATAATAACCACCACACCATAGTTTCTTTTTTCAAAATAAGCGATCAATATATATTACCATGTTGTATGATGCGCATAAAAAATTAAAATAAACTTTCCCTCCTCATTGCCAAAGAAAAAAATTGATTAAAATGTCTTATGTTATCGATGTCTTTTCTCCTCGAACGCAAACGAAACGGTCTTTGATACAAATTATAATATGTCTTCTTCGTTACATGAAATCCTCCAACAGTAGCATTCATATTGGCATCCTTGCACTGCACTACGTAGAATTCTGAGTCATCTTACTAACAATGACTTTGCGCAATTTCCGTGTATTCCATGTTCATACTGCTATACCCCCATTCGCAAAATGGATAATTAGAATGAAACCCTTTTGAATTGTCCTTCCTGGAACACCTCTTACTTCACACATGATCCAGTTAACATGAAAATTGTACACATGGATTCAACAGCTATTCACATATTTGACGTTAAAGTAGAAGACAAAACAGAAACAAAACTACTTAAATCGAATGTGTATTTCTCGACTTGCTAAAGAACTACGTCGATTTCAAAAGAAAATTCTTATTGGCTTGAAACGACTGCATTCTCTTCAGATGGACACGGTGACTAATACTAATCTCAGTGACGGGATAATAACCGTAATTATATATTTGCAACACTTTTAACGAAATCCTTTGTACATTCCATCATAGGTAAATGCGTTTAAATGTCACATCTCCAACTGTGCTCGTCCTTGGCTTTGGAAACATAAAGCAAATATGTCGATTTTTACCGTGAAAGCTTCTTAATATTTTCGGGAAGTGGCTCTACTGCCAAATTGGCTGAATTCGATATAATCGTTCGCCATAACATAGCAAAGAAAATCTATATATGCGGACAAAAAAAGCCCAAGGTTTCCATAGGGAGAATTACGTCCATCTAAAATATTATCTGGAGAGGCGCAGCCCCCATTCATAGATCTACCAATACCATTTTCAGGTATTTGTAACGGATACTGCGCATTTTTCCTTGTGTATCGATATTCGCATTAATATTAATATTGTTCGAAAAACTTCACTGTATTCAACACTTCCTATACAACCACTACCCTGAAAAACTGGGTTTCACTATATAATATAACAATAATACTCGTGCACTTATACTTAGAATGAAAAAAGGGGATCAGTGTGTATTATATCGAAGAACAGCTGAACAAGGAGATGCCAGTGCACAATATGGGTATTATAATGGAACCGGAGTAGAAAAAGATGAACAAAAAGCAGTTGAATGGTATAAAAAAGCAGCTGAACAAGGAGTTTCCAGTGCACAATATAATCTTGCTGTATTTTATGCTAATGGAACTGGAGTAGAAAAAGGTGAACAAAAAGCAGTTAAATGGTATAAAAAAGCAGCTGAACAAGGACATGCCAGTGCACAATATAATCTTGCTGTATGTTATGAAAATGGAACTGGAGTAGAAAAAGATGAACAAAAAGCAGTTGAATGGTATAA